ACAACATTGATGCATTCTGTTATTATCATTATGATGATTATTGTGAATGTTATTATGATTGTGATTATGATTGTTATGATTATGATTATGATTATTATTTTATCAGTATTATTATTGTTATTATCATTATTATTATTATTATTATTATTAATATCATTATATTATTATTATTATCATTATTATTATTATTATTATTAATATTTGTTATTACATGTAATAAACTCCCATTTCCATTTTTTTTTACATTACCAAGATTCCTTTCTTCTTTAACTCAATGAAAGAGAAAGAAAAAGACCCACCTTTGCCTGTCGTTGGATTGACATCTCTCTTAGCGCTGGAGCCACCTTTGGTCTGAACTGTTCCGATCGGGACTTCACCAGTCACGTTCTTCCCATTGACGGTACAAACAGGCTCTTTGCAACAGTTAGAGCCTTGAGGCAAGATCAGCTTACAGTACGACGGTAGCTCAGCATAAACTGGGCAGCTGGGGGAAAGAAAAACAAAACAATATAGGATTAACGAAGGTGGTCTCTCTCTCTTGCCCTTTTTAACTCCCAGTGGAGCAAAGCCCATGAAGCCTGTCCTGAGCATCCTTTTCTAGCTGTTTCCATGATGTCCCCGCTTTTTCAGTTTCCGCTTGTACCGCTCACCTCCATGTCATCTTTGGTCTTCCGTTCTTACGTTTTCCAACAAAGCTGGTAATGTAGCTGAAACGGCTGAGGTAAGAGTTCTGTTTCGGTAAATAAGTTGCACTGAAGTTAACTCTAGTCACCTAAGAGACCATACTGGCAGTTGACTGGGTCATGAAAGAAGCCACCAGAGGCAAGCGTAATGGAATACAGTGGATCACTTGGCAGCAGCTGGAAGACTTGGACTTCGCCACTGACCTTGCACTGCTCTCTCACACACATGCTCAGATGCAAGAAAAGACCAAAGAACTCAACAGCCTATCAAGGAGTGTTGGCCTACGTATACACCCGGGCAAGTCGAAAGTAGTGAAGCTAGGAAAAGTTTCAAGCCCTGCTGTGACAGTGGAAGACACTCCCCTGGAAGAAGTGGACTCCTTTACCTACTTTGGAAGTGTCATCGATGGTAAAGGTGGAACTGAGGCAGATGTTAAAGCAAGTTTTATTATAGGGGAGTAAGACATAACACTATGATACTGTGAGTAAGACATAACACTATGATACTGTGAGTAAGAAAT